AATTTACCTTATTTCTTGTTCCCAAACTTCCAAATTTGAGGATGGTGCTGAGTTTGCTTACATACGATTTGCTGATACTAACGCCGCAACTGACGCTTGTCGAGCTATGAAGAACTTCCCATTGGGTGGAAGAGATCGTTGTATAATGGTCGATTTTGCCAAGTAAGGGTTGCGAATAACGAACCGTTCGCTTGATAATCGAAAATGTCTTCTAGCAAATTGATTTTATAGAGACGATACCACCAAAGACAGTAACGGTAGTGTCTTCGGGAGAAAAAGACGGGCCACAAAATCTCCTCCGGGAGGTCCACGAACTCCTCCAGGGTCTCCCAAGCCTGTAGTCAAGTCTTTCGAGGAGCTAGACGAAGAATATGCCACTACTTGGCAGGGCCAGGTATATTTTTTAAAGAAAGAAGGGCTCCCTAGAAAACTTTACAGTTATTTAGGTCCTACTGAAGAAGACGGAGTATAGTATAAGACTGTACAGAATTGGAGGTACGGAAAGACTGATTCAGAAGCTATTGCGCGATGATGATGGGAATGCAGTGAAGTTGCATGTCACTCAGAGGTACGGTTATCCGAGGTTCCTTGTATTAATGAGCAAGAAGATGAGCTTATAGACTAGCTTTGACTGGCCAAGAAGGTCTTTTGGAAAGGCTGACGAATTCATCTAGTAAGCAGCTCAGCCTTATGATAGCCGTTGGGAAGCAACTTGATGATATACGACCGTTAGTTAGATATTTAACAGAAAAAGACGCCGCAGGTTTGATGTCCTTTCCCGTTTACAAGTTTTCGTTGCCTTATCGTTGCCTATTATCACAACTGGAACATTTCAGGAGTTGTAACTGTCACCGGTGGTCTTCTCTACATATTCCCTCACAGCGATATGTCGACGAAGTTGTTGAACCATTTCGCGCCTACAGTTCGTCTCATGTCCGATGGCTGTCCATTCCTGCTCTTTGTGCTGGGCTTGAAAACTACATCAGCTTCGAATACACCGGAACCCTGATTGTGGATCTATCTATTCCAGCATGAACG